GTCTGATTTAAATAGTTTTTATAAATTCGACTTCGAAATAGCACTTTTTTTAGTTTAAAATTGAAAAAACCGTGCAATATTTGCTATTGTTCGATACTAAACTTTGTTTTTATTTGATATTTACATAAANAAAATTCGCTATCGAACGATACTCAAATTTTGTCTATATTCTTCATAAAATTTTAAGTATTTAGAAAAGATCTCTAAAGAATATGCCATTATATAGAAAAAAGTATGCTCTTTCGTTTGGAATGGTCAGATGTTCGAAAATCGGCTTAGAAATATCACTTTTTTTCAATTTATAATTGAAAAAACCGTGAAAATTCGCTATCGAACGATACTAAAATTTTGTCTATATTCTTCATAAAATTTTAAGTATTTAGAAAAGATCTCTAAAGAATATGCCATTATATAGAAAAAAGTATGCTCTTTCGTTTGGAATAGTCAGATTTTCGAAAATCAGCTTAGAAATATCACTTTTTTCCAAATTAAAATTGAAAAAACCATGAAAATTCGCTATTGAACGATACTCAAATTTTGTCTATATTCTTCATAAAATTTAAAGTATTTAGAAAAGATCTCTAAAGAATATGCCATTATATAGAAAAAAGTATGCTCTTTCGTTTGGAATAGTCAGATTTTCGAAAATCAGCTTAGAAATATCACTTTTTTTCAATTTATAATTGAAATAACCATGAAAATTCGCTATCGAACGATACTCAAATTTTGTCTATATTCTTCATAAAATTTTAAGTATTTAGAAAAGATCTCTAAAGAATATGCCATTATATAGAAAAAAGTATGCTCTTTCGTTTGGAATAGTCAGATTTTCGAAAATCAGCTTAGAAATATCACTTTTTTTCAATTTATAATTGAAATAACCATGAAAATTCGCTATCGAACGATACTCAAATTTTGTCTATATTCTTCATAAAATTTTAAGTATTTAGAAAAGATCTCTAAAGAATAAGCCATTATATAGAAAAAAGTATGCTCTTTCGTTTGGAATAGTCAGATTTTCGAAAATCAGCTTAGAAATATCACTTTTTTCCAAATTAAAATTGAAAAAACCATGAAAATTCGCTATCGAACGATACTCAAATTTTGTCTATATTCTTCATAAAATTTTAACTATTTAGAAAAGATCTCTAAAGAATATGCCATTATATAGAAAAAAGTATGCTCTTTCGTTTAAAATTGAGAGATGTTCGAAAATCGGCTTAGAAATATAATTTTTTTCAATTTAAAATTGAAAAAACCTTGAAAATTCGCTATCGAACGATACTCAAATTTTGTCTATATTCTTCATAAAATTTTAAGTATTTAGAAAAGATCTCTAAAGAATATGCCATTATATAGAAAAAAGTATGCTCTTTCGTTTGGAATGGTCAGATGTTCGAAAATCGGCTTAGAAATATCACTTTTTTTCAATTTATTATTGAAAAAACCTTGAAAATTCGCTATCGAACGATACTAAAATTTTGTCTATATTCTTCTTAAAATTTAACTATTTAGAAAAATTCTCTAAAGAATATGCCATTATATAGAAAAAATATGCTCTTTCGTTTGGCATGGTCAGATGTTCGAAAATCGGCTTAGAGGTATCACTTTTTTTCAATTTAATATTGAAAAAACCGTGAAAATTCGCTATCGAACGATACTAAAATTTTGTCTTTATTCTTCATAAAATTTTAACTATTTAGAAAAGATCTCTAATGAATATGCCATTATATAGAAAAAAGTATGCTCTTTCGTTTGGAATAGACCGATGTTCGAAATTCGGCTTAGAAGTATCACTTTTTTTCAATTTAATATTGAAAAAACCGTGAAAATTCGCTATCGAACGATACTAAAATTTTGTCTATATTCTTCATAAAATTTTAACTATTTAGAAAAGATCTCTAAAGAATATGCCATTTTATAGAAAAAAGTATGTTCTTTCGTTTGGAATGGACCGATGTTCGAAAATCGGCTTAGAAGTATCACTTTTTTTCAATTTAATATTGAAAAAACCGTGAAAATTCGCTATAAAACGTTACTAAAATTTTGTCTATATTCTTCATAAAATTTTAACTATTTAGAAAAGATCTCTAAAGAATATCCCATTATATAGAAAAAAGTATGCTCATTCGTTTGGAATGGACCGATGTTCGAAAATCGGCTTAGAAATATCACTTTTTTTCAATTTAATATTGAATAAACCGTGAAAATTCGCTATCGAACAATACTAAAATTTTGTCTATATTGCTCATAAAATTTTAACTATTTAGAAAAGTTCTCTAACGAATATGCCATTATATAGAAAAAAGTATGCTCTTTCGTTTGGAATGGACCGATGTTCGAAAATCGGCACGTATTAGATGTTCTTCGATGTCTTCTTGTTGATCCTAATATCTCACAATAAAGATAATTGATCAATTCTTCCAATTGCTTTTGTCGAATCTACAATAATTTTAAAATATTTTCCTTATTTTATTTAAATTAATATTGTATGTAATGTTCCATGTAATGATATACTTATAGTTTTGAACATTGAGACTCGAGTTTTTTTCAATTCGGTTTGACTCAGCCAAGGATTTAGCTAGAACAGCATCAAATTTTAACACAAGTTTAACTGTTTAAATAAAAAAACCCTTTATTTGATGTTTCCTGTTAAATGTCTTCTCTGTGTCCTGTAAATGGAAGAGCATTAATTTATAGGAAGAAAGGTAAGTTTTAATTCACGTCGATTAAATTCTATTTGAGAATTTTAATTTTATAAAAATGTTGTTGAATAGTCATGTCTTTTGAAATTCTACCTTTTAAAATGTTCATTTTCTGTTTCTCTGTGATCTTCGGATTTTTCAGGTATAATAATTTTACTATAAACTTTACAGAAATTTAAAACACCTCTCTTAGGATTAGATCATTAATAATTATGTTTAGGTATAGATCCAAACAAGAAACAATGAAAACAAAACATTTTTTTCAATTTTGGGAAACATAATAATCGATTTCTTTTACAACTCATTCCTGAATAAATTTTTTTGTTGTACCAGTTGGAAGAAAACATTTTGCTTGGCTGTTTTATTGGAAAAATATATATATATATATATAATAACATCTTTATAATTAAAACAGTATTTGTTATAACTTTGTTAATTAAAATTACACTTTTTCAACATATTACCTACTAGAAGTTAATAGAAGTAAAAATTATATTATTCTGAGCTTTAGGAATAAATTCCCAAAACGAATTCCCAAAATAATATGAGTGGTATTGGTAGTATGAGTAGTTTTCTATATTAAGTCCCATCACTGTGAGAACTAAAAAAAATAGAATTTGATTTTCTACATTATTTCTAAAGACATTTAGAAACCACACTACACTAATGATTAAAGACCATTAAAAAATTGCGATTATTTTGCCCCAAAACGATAGTCGCAAACAATATTCATAACATTTTATTTACTATGAGTTGTTAATTCGTAGACAATTTGTTTTTATTAAATATTAAAAACGTTACATTATTATAGTATTTTATTTTCATGTTATGATTAGTAGCACTAGTAACATAATGCAGATTCCTATGGTTGATTGAGAGCCTACAAGGGAAATATTATTATATTTCAAATAAATAGAGCCACTTTATAGTGGCGAAAAAATAAAAAAAAATATTTATGACACGAAATGAAACCAGAGAGCGCTGTGATTTGTACGTTGCCATCAATGCGCCATGACCCGTGCGCTGTAGATACCCGACCGGCAGTTTTAATTTTCGTCAATAATCTCGCAGGCCAAACGTCACCACCCCAGTCTTCTATAGGTTTCTGCATCGCGTAGATGCGTTTTTCTGTATTTTTAAAAAACGCCTTATATATATATATATATATATATATATATATATATTCGTATACATAGATAGACACAACTTTTAGAACATTAGAAATATATTTACGGTACACAACCATTTCGATTAATATAAGGTATTATTATCTTCCATCGTCTTATTAGTTTTACTTTATTATTTTGTGCGATTAAGTATTTGATTTCATTTGTTGTTTGACATAAAATGTGTTTTCCAGTACCTCCGTCACCTCTAATTCGATTCGCAGTGGCACGACCGGTATAGGCGGTACTCACGTTATACCTGCTATGTTTGCACAATATATTGAGCACCATTACTCTACACAGGCAATGCCCGCGTACGGTTTTCCAATTTCCGTATTGCCCTGGGTGCCGCAACCTGCTCCGCCGAATCATTTTACAAAACTCCAAAAAGTAAATAATTATAAACCTATCTGATTCTAGTATAACTTTCACGCCGAAAACAAATACCCTTAAAACATGACTAATGGTTTAATAATAGTAATTTTTTTTATTTTTATTTCATAAAAACGTCTGTTTTGTCAGATTATTCCACAAGCTGATCAAAATAACTCGTATATACCACAACTCGCTACTGATTTGTCTGCATTGCTTTCGTTTGGAATTGACCGATGTTCGAAATTCGGCTTAGAAGTATCACTTTTTTTCAATTTAGTATTGAAAAAACCGTGAAAATTCGCTAACGAACGATACTAAAATTTTGTCTATATTCCTCATAAAATTTTAACTATTTAGAAAAGATCTCTAAAGAATATGCCATTATATAGAAAAAAGTATGCTCTTTCGTTTGGAATGGACCGATGTTCGAAAATCGGCTTAGAAATATGACTTTTTGCAATTTATTATTGAAAAAACCGTGGAAAATTCGCTATCGAACGATACTAAAATTTTGTCTATATTCCTCATAAAATTTTAACTCTTTAGAAAATTATCGAACGATACTAAAATTTTGTCTATATTCCTCATAAAATTTTAACTCTTTAGAAAATTTCTCTAACTCTTTAGACATTATACAGAAAAAAGTATGCTCTTTCGTTTGGAATGGACCGATGTTCGAAAAAGGGCTTAGAAATATGACTTTTTGCAATTTATTATTGAAAAAACCGTGAAAATTCGCTATCGATCGATACTAAAATTTTGTCTATATTCTTCATAAAATTTTAACTATTTAGAAAAGATCTCTAAAGAATATGCCATTATATAGAAAAAAGTATGCTCTTTCGTTTGGAATGGTTTGGAATTGACCGATGTTCGAAATTCGGCTTAGAAGTATCACTTTTTTTCAATTTAATATTGAAAAAACCGTGAAAATTCGCTATCGAACGATACTAAAATTTTGTCTATATTCCTCATAAAATTTTAACTCTTTAGAAAAGTTCTCTAAAGAATATGCCATTATATAGAAAAAAGTATGCTCTTTCGTTTGGAATGGACCGATGTTCGAAAATAGGCTTAGAAGTCTCACTTTTTTTCAATTTAATATTGAAAAAACCGTGAAAATTCGCTATCGAACGATACTAAAATTTTGTCTATATTCTTCATAAAATTTTAACTATTTAGAAAAAATCTCTAAAGAATATGCCATTATATAGAAAAAAGTATGCTCTTTCGTTTGGAATTGACCGATGTTCGAAAATCGGCTTAGAAGTATCACTTTTTCTCAATTAATAATTGGAAAAAACCGAGAAAGTTCGCTATCGAACGATACTAATATTTTGTCTATATTCTTTATAAAATTTTAACTACTTAGAAAAGATCTCTAAAGAATATGCCATTATATAGAAAAAAGTATGCTCTTCCGTTTGGAATGGACCGATGTTCGAAAATCGGCTTAGAAGTATCACTTTTTTTCAATTTAGTATTGAAAAAACCGTGAAAATTCGCTATCGAACGATACTAAAATTTTGTCTATATTCCTCATAAAATTTTAACTATTTAGAAAAAATCTCTAAAGAATATGCCATTATATAGAAAAAAGTATGCTCTTTCGTTTGGAATTGACCGATGTTCGAAATTCGGCTTAGAAGTATCACTTTTTTTCAATTTAGTATTGAAAAAACCGTGAAAATTCGCTAACGAACGATACTAAAATTTTGTCTATATTCCTCATAAAATTTTAACTATTTAGAAAAAATCTCTAAAGAATATGCCATTATATAGAAAAAAGTATGCTCTTTCGTTTGGAATAGACCGATGTTCGAAATTCGGCTTAGAAGTATCACTTTTTTTCAATTTAGTATTGAAAAAACCGTGAAAATTCGCTAACGAACGATACTAAAATTTTGTCTATATTCCTCATAAAATTTTAACTATTTAGAAAAAATCTCTAAAGAATATGCCATTATATAGAAAAAAGTATGCTCTTTCGTTTGGAATTGACCGATGTTCGAAATTCGGCTTAGAAGTATCACTTTTTTTCAATTTANTTTAATGTAGTTGGTAATATAAGTAATTTTAAGTGTGTACATCAATATAAGGCTATTACAATATCGTTTAGTTTATAAAATCTGAGGGTGCATAAAATTTTTATTTTTTCGAAAACTTATTTTTTTAAAAAAAAAATTAAATTAATAAAAAAAATAATAATAAAAAAATTAAAGAAATTGTTTCCGAATAAACCATAGTTATTATTTTTAATATTATTTGTTTGCTCCGAATTTATAAAAGATTTATATATAAAAAAAAAAAAAAAAAAAAAATTAAAAATTCGTATACTACACAAGTTTTTTTTTTTTATTATTATGAATTATTTAAAGCAGATTTTGTTATAAATTACGTATCTAGATTTAAGATTTTTTTTTTTTTTTTGTTTAAGTAAAATTTTAATAAAAGTTCGGCGTCACAGCTAACTGAGTATTATGATGGTAAGATTGCAGTAGACGTTAAACAGACGACGTTAGTGTATCAAAAAAAATTTGAACAACGTCGTCTTTTAATGTAGTTCGTTAATATAAGTGATAAGTAATATAAGTAATTTTAAGTGTGTACATTAATATAAAGCTATTACAATATCGTTTGGTTTATACAATTTTGGGGGGGGCAAGCAGAAATAAAATTTTTATTTTTTTGAACACTTATTTTTTATTAAAAAAAAATTAAAATGAATAAAAAAAATAATAATAAAAAAAGAAATTGTTTCGGATAAATTATGTAACTAACATAATATAATTAAAAAAATAGATTTTAAAAGTAATTAAGTACTTAGATATAAGTATTTATTTGTTATTAAAAAAAACCTATGTTAAGAGTTCGTCTTCACAGCCAACTGTGATCTTATGTTTCGTGAATTATGATTCTAGTAGATATTGAAAAGTTAAGGTATTTTATTAAAAATTTGCGCAACGTCCTCTTTTAATATAGTAAATTATTTCATGTTATAAAGTAATTTAAGCATATTAAAATATTGTTTATCTTATATAATTTAAGGGAGCAAGCAGAAATTAATTGGTTTTTTTAGTCCGATGTTGCTGTTGCGTAAGTCGTGTTTCCTCCAAATACGTTCGTCTGTAGTTTTTCTTTTTCTTTATTCTATCAAATATGTTACTCTGTAATGTCGTTGTTTATTGAAAAACCGATACATTTGTTCTATAATTTAATCAATCCGACTTTACTATAGTTTTTTCATAATATAATTTGTCTGCTCCGAATTCACTAAAGATATTTTAATTACAATATAGGTTAAATAGATACTGAAATCATTTAAGTATTTATTATCAGTTACTTTAGGGGTACAGTAAAAAAAAAATTTAAATTAATAAAAAAAATAATAATAAAAAAATTAAAGAAACTGTCGTACTAAAATAATGTAACTAATATTATATAATTTAAAAAAATTGATTTTATAATTACTTAAGAACTTTTTCGTTTGCACAATACATTTTTCTTTCCGTTTTAAGACGTGTAATAATAATTTTAAAAAAATTCTTATGCATACGATATTAATTGCGTGCAATCGTTTTGTATTCGACATGTACTAGAAAATAAAAACAAACAATTAAATTTAAAAAATTTATTACCGTAATGATGTGGTTAACATTAATTATAATCATTGACGCGGATTTTTCTTTTGTAATTTCTTATGACTTCATGAAAATGTCTGCAAAATTCGTTTAACGGACCTCAAATTTATGCCTATATTATATTAATCCACAGTCAGCACTTGGAAATCGCTCCGATCTAATTCTTATATTATTAAACATAGCATTATGTAAACCCAAATCGTTTCATAAGTTTTTATTGTTTTAAGCTCAATACATATAATATATTGATTGTACCAAATCATGTCCCTTAAAGCTGTGTTTTTTTAACCTGGGGCTCCAAAGAACTTTTTAAGATGTACAATGTTAATCAGGTCATTTTTTGGGAGAACAACCAAAAATAAATAAGATCATTCAATGTTCATAATACTTCAATATTATTCCTTTGTTTCGACTTAACTGCATAACTGCATTAACTATACCACTATACCATTAACAAAGTTTCAAATTTACCGATTTCGCAGCCACTGAAAATGGTTTTTCTTAAAATTTCCTCTTTTCAGTAGAAAACATTTTCTTTTTTTATTTACATAGAGTTTTATTGTTTAGAGTTTATAGTTAACTGAACTTTTTTTTTTTAATTTTAAATTTTTCATATTTTAGGATAGGTTTTTTCCCAATACAAATGCGCTGCTCCGAATCCGCTAATCATTTATTCTTATATAGGAATATTACTAAGATTATATTACTCATATAATTTAACGATTAAACACTTTATTAATTATGGTTTAGGTACTTAAATTAAGGAACATTTTAATTTTTAAGGAAAATCAAGTATAAAAATCGGCGTCAATATAAACTCAGGATGGTTAATATCTAACCGCGTAGTAGGTATTAAATAGACGACGTAAGTATTTCAATGCGAATTTGAACAACGTCGTCTTTTAATATAGTTAATTAATATAAGTATCTTTATAATGAATATAATTATAAGTGAATATTAAGTATTTTTTGTATATTGAATTAATGTTTTTGTTTATTAAAATTCAATATTATATTCTTAATTAAAACTTCCGTCTTTGAAAAATTATTTTACATCTAATAGATGAAATAATATTTAATATTGTATAAAAATTAATATTGTGAATGATACTGTATATACTGATTAAGTTTATGAAGTTAGTCCGAAAGTCTTATATAAAATCTTATAACAAGTACCTATATTTCATAATAACAATAATATTTTGAAAAAACAATTTGATTATTGTAATACAATTAAATGTTTATAATAATTATTTATTGATTTTTCTTGATCTATAAAGCTTACATACAGGATTACAAACATTTAAGATTAATACCTATAATATAAATATAAATAGGGTAACGTGATTTTATGTTATATATGTTGAGAGAAAGTTTTGCGATTAACTAAAATGTGCTTTATTATTATTTTGCATTTTATTGCATGCCTATAATGTAGCGTGGAAATTGGTAGGTGACCGTTAGGCGGGAAAAAAACGACTGACAATAATAACTGGAATATTTTTTAGAGAGAAAAAAACCAGAAGGGAAAGAATAAAAACATTTTAGTTGTATGTTATTAAGTTTTTCTCTTTTAAAAAAATTAATTTATAAATTATAGTGAGTGTATAATATTATTATCTTTAAAGTAACCCGCTCTTTCGCCTTACGTTTAATTTCATTTGTTATAATAATTTTTCCAGCTTCAGATTCCGCTTTCCTCGAGAGGTTAGGTTCAACCAACCTCAGTCTATATTCTTATACCTTATCAAAGTGCTGTCATGCGAATGATCCGATAGGTATTCAAAACTCTCAACTTTGTATACAAGGCTGATACTGATGAAGCTTTCTTATCATGTTCCCCCAAACTCATAATCTATGTAGGAAAAAAGAGTATTGAAAAAAAAAATACATACTATGAGACTGTTGATCACCCTGATTCCTACCTATATGTTGAGTAAAAAAAATTAATTAATTAATTAATTAATAAGGTAATACCGTTGAACAGATTCATACAACAAAAACTCTCATTTATCATTTCCCTATCATCTGCTTATTTAATTTATTATATTAATATTATTTTTATGTGTGTATAGTTTTTTTTTCCACTATTGAATGTTATTTATTCCAAAATATTATTATAATATATTTTAGCTATATATTTATATAGAAAAATACAAAAAAAAAAATCAACCTTTAATATTTTACATTATATCATTGTTATTATTATTATATAAAGTAATGCGGTATTCCTTACAAATACATAATATACTTACTTATAGACAATTTTTTCTTTTCTTCGATATATTAGATACAACTTATTGCATTTATTTATTTACGATGTTGTTTGATTATGTAGTATATATATTATTATAATTATACATTAAACTGAACAATAATATTAATATGTCTCATATATTTAGGTCTTCTTGTTTTTGTTATTGGATTTAATATAGATATTGCCGTTTTGTATTTTATTAACAGCTTACAAAGGTATTATGTTTTCTTTCATAATACTAAGATTGTATTATATATATATTTGAATGAATGTGAGGAAAATTAAAATTACAAAAAAAAAAAAAAAAACAAATAAAAACTAATATTATTTATAATTATTTTTCAGTGAACACCTTTCTCTACTACTCTATTTTGCCCCAAGAGGTCATTTTTTTATTTTCCTTCTAGTTTTCTTAACAAATATTAATTCAGGAATAGAAGAAGAGAAAACCGTAGAAAAAAATTTAATATATGTACAATATTCGTGTCAAATCAACTACTCTAGGAAAAACTAATATTATTGCTAAATCGATGTGGTGTTTTATTTTTTTTTATTTATTTATAATTTATCCATATAAGTTTTTTCTTAAAACCCTCAAAGTGCAATATTTAAAATAAAATATTAATTAAAGTATGATTATTAATTATTGTTAAAGATCGATATAATCTTAATATGATGTATGATGTATAATTTATAGATATTATACTGTTGATTATATTATGTATACGAGGTGTGTGCAAAAAGATCTAGGTCTGTTTGAATTGCACGCCAACGGAGTGTCTAAGAGCAGTAGGATTGATATCATTGTGTTCTGTGACTTGAAGTTTATCTGTATTTGTAGATGAAGAGAAAGAAAAATCTTCTCTATTAGATTTTCTCCTTCAACAAATATCTTCAATTGGATGTATTACGAAATCGTCAATTGCGGTCACATTTCGATTTCCGAAGACTTTTCTCACCAAATGCGAAATCTGAAAATAAAATGGAAAAATGTCCAAGTATATTTCAAGAAATAAAGTAAATAAATATAGTTAAAAAAAAATGTATACAAAAAATAAAAAAATAAATGAACGAATGCGTTGTCCGGAGTATTATGATAAGTGATTTATATAACCGGTTCCGAATTAAAATTCGTTATTAGGTATATCACAGTCAAAATTTGAAAATATTACGAATTTTTTATCAGTGTACACCTTTTTCTACCAGCTTTTTTGCTCCAATATATGATTGCTCCAATTTTTTTAAAAGAAAACTTCACTGAGGAGGTACTTAAGAGAGGTCGTATTTTTATTCTCTTACTAGTCTTCTCAACAAATCTTTATTCCGGAAAAGAACTGGAGAAAACCGTAGAAAAAAATACGGATGAATGTACAATATTCGTGTCAAAGCAACTACACTACCATCTGAATTTTTTTATTTTGCCAACAATTTTACTGAGAGTAAGTATTTATAGAAAAACGAATGTATATGTTTTCATATTGCTTCATTCAGATTTAACTACAGTTGACTAACAGTTGTTTGTCTGCTTTGTATTCACCAATGATTAATACTGAAAAAAAATAAGTTATCCGACAAAATGTATGTTACTAATATAATACAAGAATAAAAATAATTTTTTCAATACCTGAAGTACTTAGATTTAAGTTGTTTACATTTAATTTAAAAAAATTATTATAAGAGTTTGGCATCGCAGCCAACAGAATGAGATGATTGTATTTAAGAGAGTATTTCATATTTAATTCTATAAATTCTTAATATATAAATGTCGTTCATGAAGTATAAAACTCACCATTTATATAAAACACAAATATCCAGAAATTCATTGGTTTTACTAGAAATCTCGCTGTAATCTTAAATAGTAGAATCTTTTCAGAAATAAAAATATTGTCAAGTTGGGACATGAGTCATTTTTTAAATTTTTTGGAGTTTTTTTATAATTGAAAAAAAAACCGAAAAATAACTTAGGAATAATAGACAAATTTTCGAAGTAACGGTTTCTTTAATTTCGATTTCGATTTTTAGATTCAGAACGTAAAGAGAAATCTATCGATTAAACCTAATGTGTTTGGTTTTTTTGTTTATGAACCATTTTTCTATCACAAAACATGATCTGATGTATAGAGAGTATAATTTATTGGGGAGGTAATTTATTAATTTTCTAAGGAGTTTTCGAAATAATTATTAGGAATAACCCGAGAAAAAATTATAGATAAAACAGAAAATATCTACGCAATGCTGCGGTATTGTCGTTTTCATTGTTTTTAATTTTTATTCTCGATTTTTCTACCAGAAATATTAATCCAATCGAAAATAATATGAAATCGATTTTTATCCTTTAAGTGTATAACAACTAAAAGAGAAAGTCATTTTTACGGCAGTTGCAGATACCATAAGCCGGCTGTTGTACTTGGTTAATCCATATTTACTTAAGCCTGGTAGTATTACCTATTGTCACCTTGTTCTCTATTATACACGTAAACGTATTCATTATTTTTTCATTATTCTCTTTTAGACACAATACATTGCCTTTAACTGACTCGAGCACAATCCCAACATAGCGCAGTTCCTGGTCGTCAATCAGGACAAACAATCGTATGTAAATATTTAAACTCAAATACACACAGCACATTACTTCCGGTTGGCCTGAGTACATTGTACATTTGTGTTGTTCTCACTAATATTAATTGTAATAACTACATAACAATTTGTCGGTTAGCGATTCGTTACACCATTGCTAATGAAACAACGGATTCTGTGCGGAGTTCGGTTAATAATTTTGTCAACAATACGAGATCTGACCAATAAGTAATGAGACTGGTTTTTTTTTTTTTGCCACGCTTGTGGTAACACTGCGAATCTGAAACTTCGTTCGGTTAATCTCTCATCCCTCCTCTATCGATACATGTGCTCGCGATTTTCGTACAATAAGTAGTTTTTCAGTTGTGTTATGTTTTCAACAACGTGTTTGTAAGGCGTGTCACAAATATGGAACAACGTAATATTGAACAGCGGTACGCGATTAAATTTTGCGTTAAACTCGGCGATTCCGTTATGGAAACGTACGATAAATTGGTGAAAGTGTTCGGTGATGAAGCCCTGAGTCGTGCTCAGGTGTTTCGATGGCATAACAATTTTAAAAATGGTCGTGAAAACGTCGAGGATGAACCGCGAAGTGGGAGACCGGTTGAAGCTCGAACTGACAACAATGTTCAGCGTGTGCGCACTCTCGTGCATCAAGATCGGCGTTTAACCGTTCGAATGTTGGCTGATGAACTTAATTTGAAACGANCTGGTGATGAAAGTTGGTATTTTCAGTACGATTCCGAAACAAAACAACAAAGTCAACAGTGGCTGTCTCCTGGTGCAGCCAGACTGAAGAAGGCGAGAATGGGCAAATCAAAAGTGAAAACGATGATGATTTGTTTCTTTGACAGCAAAGGGATCGTGCACAAAGAGTTCGTACCACCTGGGCAGACCGTCAACCAACATTTTTACCTGAAAGTACTCGATCGGCTGCAAAAACGAGTCATTAGAGTCCGTCCAGAGATTGCCAAAACGTGGATCCTTCATCATGACAATGCTCCATGCCATCGTGCCTTCAGTGTGTCGCAATTTTTGACCTCTAAGAACATCGCAGTGTTGCCACAAGCGCCCTATTCGCCGGATATGTCACCCTGTGACTTCTTTTTGTTCCCTCAAATAAAATTGGCCGTGAAAGGAACGCATTTTGAGTACATAACTGACATCCAGAACGCCGTGACGAGGGTACTTCAGGACATTCCAGTCGAAGCCTTCCAGAAATGTTATGAGAGCTGGAAAAAACGTTGGAACCAGTGTATAGGGGTGGGAGGAGAGTACTTTGAAGGGGATCACATCGATGTATCTTAATATTTAAATATACGTATTTTATTGAATTAGTCTCATTACTTATTGGTCAGACCTCGTATATGTGTCATATTACGGTAAAAAAACTAAATAGGCATAATATATTTTCTGTAATAATATATTTTTAGTGTCGTATTGATTTTCCTTCGTTTTTCCCGACTGCTTATTCTTTGAAAGAACTCCTGAGAAAATCAAAAAAAAATGTAATAATTGTAAATTGGAGCAAAATTAGTTGTAAAAGAGTAATGCATATTAATAATATTTATTTAATATAGTACCTATTTTCAGATTTTCCAATATATTGATTTTCTTCAGTTTTGGACTGAAACAATAGTTTTGGTGGTAATGGAAAACATCAACATCATGTAAACGTAATGAAATAAATGAAAACGGTACCTATAGTTTTCGTTTTGGTTTTTCACAATCATTTCGAAAACCTTTTGAAAAATTAACTCACTCTGCTCCAAATCCAAAAAAAAAGAAAAACACAAATAGTAAAAGCAATTTGTTTAACGACTTACTTTTTCTTGATAATTTAATATATATCTAAATGCAATGATTAACCGTTGCTAACGAAAAACGATTTTAAACGGAGTTTGGTTAATAGTATTTCTTTATCGACAAAGTATATAATTTCATGGTATCATAAATATTAAATATGCATTATAAATTTCTTTTTATAATTTTTGTTTTAAATTGTACCTATTTTCCCATAAAAAGATATAAAAATACTCGAAATTTAAAGAATATCGGTTTACAATCGTCGACAATATTCGGATAATCTAACGGCTGGATAATAATTGAGGGGTCGGATAATCGACTCTCCTGTACCAGGAGCGTATAGGCTCACTGCGATATCGGAATGTTTCCTGTAGGTGGCTATTTGTATTGATGAAAATCGACCGTTGAAGAATACCGATATTTTATACTCTATAATAACTTAAATATTCATTGTTTATAAAAATATCATTTAAACATTATTTTATATTCAAATCTAATTTAAATCCAAATGAATTATCATTGTAATTCCAGTACATCGTATTCACATGTATCGTAACGCTGCTGGGTTATCGACAAACCACTACAAGCGTATGTCTTGGATTTTGAGAAATTTTGAATTTGACTCATACCTGCTGATGCAAATATCAATTAATATAAATAAATGTACCTACACGTTTATCGTACGCAGTTTTTGAACACATATGTTGCAGTGAAATTTGTTTAACCAGTTATTTTTTCCCGATAATTTCAAAATCAATTTGGAAAACTGAAAAATCCGCACATAATTCAGACAATGGATAGTTTGCATTGAGTGGAAATTATTATGTTATGCATTTATAGGTAATGTAATAATAAAATCGGTTTAACAGTCTCAATATAATGTTCGGATACTGAGAGGTCGGATAATCGAGCTCTACTCTACTAGAGGCGTATAGGCTCACCGGAATGTCCAATATTGTAACGAATATACGGACAAACATCACACGATAGTAAGCCACTGGTGTGGGTGAGGATTCTTGAAGGTTCAGGGAAATTATAATTTTATATCTGTCCATAAGTATTACTCATTGCTAACGTAAAACGATTCTGAGCGTAATTCGGTTAATAGTGTTGCTTTGTCGAGTGTCGGATAATCGGCTGTACTGTACTAAAGGAGTAGATCCAAATGAAATAACAATAGAAACAAAAGATATTTTTAAAATAAAATATCACGGGACAATAATTTAGCATCTTTTGATATACAGCTTGAACAAATTGCCAATTATTTTATTTAAGAAACAATTAATTTGTTTAAATAGGTATTAAACTTGTTGAAAAATTCTATTATTAAAGTATAATAGAATCTCAATTATCCGAACAACTTTTGACCACATTTATTCACATCAATGTATGTTCTAATATTAGGAATTTTTAAAATATTTAAAAAGCTCATAGATGATAATTTGTTTTTTAAATAAACGCATGATAAATTTATATTTATAATTTCAAAAGTATGTTGAAAATAAATTGAAAAATATCTTCAAATAAGGTATAGTAGAACCTCAATTATCCGATTGAATTGTGTCAGCACCTAACTCAGACAAAAGATTGTTTGCATGGCGTAGAAATTATTATGTTATGCATTCATAGGTAATTCAATAATACAATTTATAAAAAAAAAAAAATATAATTATATCGGTTTACTAGCCGCAATATAAAGTTCGGATACCGAGGGGTCGGATAATCGGATCTAGCGTACCAGGGGCGGAGAAACTCGCCGAGACACCTGGATTAAAAAAAATACGGACACACTACGCACGACGGGTGAGTCAATGTTGTAGGTGAAATGTTGTAACGTCTCGCGTCGTCTTGACAAAAAAAATATTAAGATAGTAATACTTTAAACAAGAACTGGCAGCCATAAAGACGGAGTTCGCCACGAGCGTTATGCGACCCGGGCGTTCGCCACGGACCGACCTGCAACCGAGACAGGATCTGCCGGAGTTACAGGATTTAATTAAGTACTAACAAGTTAAATGTAGTGAAACATATTATAGAACATCCTGAAAAGGAAACATAGGTGAAATAATATGGGAATAAGAGATTGAAAAGAAGACCAAGTTTTTGCGGGGAAAATAAATGAGATTTATTATTTTATTAATCAAGAAATTTATGTTAANAACGAAACTCAACCCTTTATATTTTTCCGTATAGCAATCTAAATTAGAGTTTTATAAGAATAAAAATCTATACAATTAAATATAAATAAATAAATAAAAATAATATAGTATATTAATTAAATGCATATGTCGTTAGAAGGCTATAAGAGTACCTATTATAATAATCGATTGACGTACGATGACCGCTGTACTAACCACAAGTCAATTATATTAATAATATAATAACAATGTCAAATACTTACCAAAAGAACAGAGAGTTCCAATCAAAATATTTGATGGAAACAGAAAAAAAGCGGCTTGATTCAACACGTGGATAATAAGACACACAGAAGACCAAAAAAATTAATCTACTCGGCACATTCCTCAATGACTCGGCCACACACTGGATACGTAAGACGAAAATGACGACACAAGTATTAACAAAGAAAGAAATGTCGACAACCGATATGGCCGTTAGGCGATAGAAACCGAAAAATGGCGAACGATAAAGCGTCCGTCCAATATTATTTCGTGTCTACCGTAGGTATACGCGGTACATACAAAAAGTGACAATAATAAAATAAACAGTGTGGACAACATGATTACCGGTCGGGTAGAATGACGATTAGAAGACGGGGACTGGTACAATGTATCACCATTAATAACAGTGAACCTAATAAGAACAAAGCAAAATTGCATACCAATTATTTTACGACAAATATTGTAACGTCTCGCGTCGTCTTGACAAAAAAAAAAATATTAAGATAGTAATACTTTAAACAAGAGTTGGCAGCCGTAAAGACGGAGTTCGCCACGAGCGTTATGCGACCCGGGCGTTCGCCACGGACCGACCTGCAACCGAGACAGGATCTGCCGGAGTTACAGGATTTACCTAAGTACTAACAAGTTAAATGTATTGAAACATATTATAGAACATCCTGAAAGGAAACATAGGTGAAATATAAATACAAATAAAAATAAATAATAATAATAATAATAGGGTAGTATCGGCCAATATTAAAAAAAAAAAGGGATATGCATACCTGACCGGCGGTCGGGAACGACCGTGCCGGGGACTTGTGTGGACTTTTAGCCTCTCATTTTGAGTCGGAAACGGAGCAAAAATAAAAAGGTCCGTATCCGTGAACGGTGTTGGAGCAACCAAAAAAAAAAACGATCCGATGGCCGTTATGCAGTCCGTCGGTCGCGAAATTGAACTGTTATCATCTGATTGGCCGATACCCCCCTTTACACATCGATATACGCTCGCAGAGTGACGGTCGGGTGATGGTGTGTTTGAAAAACCACCGCGACAACGTACGCGGACCTTTGCCTTATGTGATAAAGTGACATAACTGCGTATACGATTTTGGTGTTATTATTGAGTTATTATTCAATTTTGCACGTTACAATGTTATGGAAGTAGAGGAGAATCGCAACGATTTACCACTACCAACGAAAAACAACTCTGAGGGGAGTTCGGTTAATGGTGTTGTTTAAGCAACAGTAAATATGACATATTATTCAGAAAATCAAGTGATCAGAGAGTCAAGGAAGGACTCGGAATAATTCAAAAACTAAACAATAGTAAAACCTTTTGAAATAAAATTTCAGGACGCTACCTTGTGGTACTCCAGCTGATATATTTTTCCAATTTGTTATTGCTTCTTCGTGTATGACTCAAAATTGCCGGTCTGTCAGATAAGATTCTAATAGCGCACACCAAGTGTGTGGCAGCTGTTCACGACATTTTATGAGTAGTCCTTTATGCCAAACTTGATCAAAAGCTTTAGCTATGTCTAGAAATACTCTACAGCAATACTTTTTTTTTTCAGAGCTTTATTAATCACGTTTGTGACGCGATGTACTTGGTCTATGGTTGAATGTTTGTTTCGAAATCCGAACTGATCGTCTGGTATGAGTTTTTTTCCTCTATAAGAGGTTTTAATAGTATAAGAAGAAGTTTTTCGAAGAGCTTTGACAAACTTGAGAGAAGCGATATGGGTCTGTATGAGTTAACTCTTTCAGATGGCTTATTTGGTTTCAATAGCATGATGACTGGAACGTATTCCGTTCGTAGAATTGCGTTGTATTTATGTGTAAGAAGAATAATTGCCATCTTTGGCAATTCTTTAAGTATGCGTGGACTGATCTCATCAAAACCAGATGCCTTTTATGGGTTGATATTAATATCAATTTCATGAGCAACTTCTAAGGGTGAAAAGTATCTTATTTTTTCTCCATGTTCGTCTGGTGGTTGACGTTGTATTAAATCAAGTTCAGAAGTAATGTCATTAGGTTTAAATACTTCTGTAAGGTGTCTGGCATATGTTTCGGCTTTATCTTGTCCACTGCATGCACATTCTTTACTAATAGGTGGTACATGGACACGGGGTATTTTCATGTGTCTTGTGGCTTTCCAAAATGAGTAATCGGTTTTATCTGTTGCAGATAAGCCACTCAGATACGATTTAAATGTTTCATTTTTTACTTCCTTGATCTTATCACGCAGTTACTTACTAATACGTTTCCATTTGGTTTTATCCGTTGGGTGACTCGTTCTATGCCAGGTTCTTCTTGCTTTGCACTTTTGTTGAACTAGATCTTTAATTTCCATATGGTAGGTTATCTCACAATTACTAACTTTAGAAGTTTCAGGTGTTGACGTTTTTGCAGCTTCAACAATATCATTACTCAGTTTTTGTACTGCCATTTCGATTTTGGATGATGTTTTTAAACTTACCGAAACAGTTGTTGTGTTTTCAAGAGTGCTCCTAAAGAGTTCCCAATCTGTTTCTTTTTTGAGATTTTCATCTTTGTTTGAGAAAGATTTTTATATATGAGTGTATTAAGTATATTTAGCAACTATTAACCATTGCTAATAAAATGGCGATTCTGAACGGATTTCAGATGATAGTGTAGTTGCTATGACACGTATATTGTATATTCATCCGTATTTTTTTCTACAGTTTTCTCCAGTTCATTTCCGTAAAAAAGATTTATTGAGAAGACTAGTAAGAAAATAAAAAACGACCTTTCTTAAGTACCTCCTTAGAGAAATTTTCTATTTAAAAAATCAGAGCAATAATATATTGGAGTAAAATAGTTGGAAAATAGGTGTACACTGAAAAAAAATACATAATATTTTCACATTTTAACTGTGATATACTTGATAAGGAATTTTAATTCGAAACCGGATACATAAGACACTTATCATAATATTCCGGACGAGGCATTTGTTCATTCATTTTTTTATTTTGAGTATACATTATTTTTATAACTATATGTATTTACTTTATTTCATGAAATATACTTGGACATTTTTCCGTTTTATTTTCGCATTTCGCATTTGGTGAGAAAACTCTTCGGAATATCGAAATATGACCGCATTTGACGATTTCGTAATACGTCCAATTGAAGATATTTGTTGAGGGAGAAAATCTTATAGAGAAAATTTTTCTTTCTCCTCATCTAGACATACATTTAAACTAGGGTGACCAGTTTTGCAAAAAAAAAAAAAAAAAAAAAAGGGAAAAAAAAAAAAAAAACTGGACAAACAATTTTTAGTTTAAATACTCTAAAAAAACATACATATTTTTTTTATTTTATAGTTACATTTACAATTAAAATATTTTTTAACTACCTTTCTTAATATTTTAATACAAAACTTGATTACTTTTATTGGGTTGATGTCGAATTGCTCATCATGTCTTTTATTATCAAATATGTCGTTACTGTACTTTTGCGATGAACTGATTGCGTTTAACAGTTTTGGTTGTGTTAGCAAAAAATCATTACACGAATATTTTTTGAAATTATTTTTCAAAATTATAATTGATTTGATGGTAGGAACAAGAAAGCGATTTTTTTCATCCGTCCATAACACATTAGTGATAGAAAATATTCTTTCAATTGCAGCATTTGTTCCAGGCATTGCTAGAGAATATTCTACAATATTCCAAAAATTATCCAAAAACCTATCAATATACTTTTACTATTTAAAATTTTATAGATAGCACACCATCTTTCTTCAACACAAACATATTTATTCTGCCATTCTTTTAAATTTTCATTTATAACATTTACTACATGATTATATTCA